ACCTGAACAATGAGTTTCAGAACTTAAAGAAAGGGAAGATGAGTGTTAATGAATATGTCACCACATTCACCGAGAAGATGAAGTTATTCCCTTACTTGGTGCCTACTGAACTCATCTAAGATTGAGAGGTTTGCTAACGGACTACCAGCAGACTTTGGTCCAACGGTAAAGATGGTGACTACTTTGAAGGCAGTCGGCATAGCAGCCAAGAATGTGGAGACCCAATTTCGGCAGAAGTGCCTAGAGAGGACAGAGGTAGGAGAGAAAAGGAAGTTTGATGGATCTTCAAGATCCAACAAGAAGAGCAGATTTTCAAAATTTGGTTCCAAAAACTTTCGAGGTGGAGGAGAAGCAAAATGGTGCGAAAAGTGCAAGAAGCACTCTGGGAAATGTGGCGAGGAGTTGACATGTTTCAAGTGTGAGAGAATTGATCATTATGCCAGCGAGTGTACATCCAACAAAAGGGTGTGTTACGGATGTAATGAAGAAATACATATTGCAAAGGACTGCCCGAAGAAGAAGGAGGTTGCAAAGCCTAATGTGTCGCCTAGGCCAAAGTCGAGAGCATTCCAGATGACACTGGAAGTAGCAAGGGAGGAAGCAGGTGTCGCTTTAGGTACCTTTCTTGTAAATGGGTTGTCTGCCAATATATTGTTTGATTCTGGAGCTAATTACTCATTTATATCGCATAAATTTGGTAGAAGAGTAGCATTGTATGTAGATAAACTAGATAGTGTCTAATAGTAGAAGTTGCTAATGGCAAATTCGTATCTGTTAGTGATTGTATTACAAACATCGTCATCGACTTGAATGGGAATGAATTCCACGAGGAATTGTTGCCCACTGAGTTAAACGGCTTCAACATAGTGTTAGGGATGGATTGGCTTAGTGCGAACGATGTCGACATCAAGTGTAGAAAGAAGATCGTAGTGATCAAACCACCTGGAAGAGAACCATTTATGATATACATGGACAAACGTAAAATAAATTCTTGAATCATCTACCTGATTAAGGCCAGAAAGTGTTTGTTGAAAGGGTGTACATCATACTTGGCATTTCGGGGTAGAAGAAAACAAAGATTGAGAATTCAATATATAGCATCCGAATCCTAGTGTTGTTTGGCATCAAACGGGTGATTTAAACCCACTAATATATAACGAGGAACGACCAAGCGCAAAGTGTATTGCATAGTTTTTGATTGGCGGATTGATCATGTACCTTAGGACAAAGCGTATTTTACAATTAACTAATTTAAAATATTCTTTTACATATTGTTATAACAAATAATAGAAATTTTTGATAGTTAGACTTGACTATGTTTATGGTGGTGAGTTGCTTACTTCAGCCTTAGCAAACAAATCTGTCTCTGTTGGTGCATGAACTTGAATGGTCCATGTATAACACGTGTGCCAGGTCCCACTTGAACATGTTACTTGTTTTACTCTTGCATGGCCATGTTCTTATTTTGTGTCTACATTTAATAGTTTCTCGATTATAATACTTGACCAAAATGGTTAATTTTTATTATAACGTTATTAAACATTGGAGCATATTGAGTATGTATGCAAAAATCAAATAACAATGATTGATATGGATTAGCAAAGAGAAACTCAATCATTATCTAATCAAAACAACAGGGAATGGAGACACAAAAGCTCTAGCTAACTAGACAAATAAAGCAAAATCACAAATCTGATAAAAAGTTTACTAAGGTATATATGTTGTTTTGGGGTTATTTTCATGTTAACTTATTTTGTAAGTTTAGTTAAAAAGCTGTTAAGATGCAACATTATGAAGTATGGGTGCTTAGGGCATTCATAATGGTGAGTTCAATGGAAAAATTGAATGAGATGACAAGTTCATGTGTCATTTAATGGATGAAACTCTATTATGGTGATATGACACCTTAGCATTCAACGGATTTGGAGTTCAATGGGAAAAAGAAAAGTTTTTAATTCTTAAATATTTAATATAAATTACATTTTATAATATTTTATTTAACTTTGTAAAATTCAATGCATTATAGAAAAAAATAATAGAATTGTATGGATTGTAGAAAGACGATGTGATAATCCATTAAACTCTACGATTTCAATGCATTGTGGATGTCCTTACTTTTATTCTTAACAATGTCTAAACGAGGCAAATTATTATGATTGATTTTAACTGACTTTGGTTTAATATTTTCAATTATTATGGTTTAATTGAAAGATTTTCATGTGATAAACCCTCATCTCTTATTTCATATTCTCAATGTTGATAAATATATGAAGAACTTCATTTGATACATTCATATTTCCTTTTTTACAGCAAGAAAGAACGATATATATATAGCCACCCACGGCCTAGTACTGAGAAACAAGAAAAAAAAAAGTTTTAAAAAATTAAAAAAATAAAAAAATAAATACATGTTAGTTTACATATCAATACAAAACGCAGGGCTATGACCAATCAAACCAAATAATCTCCTTAAATCTACTGGAATATTTCCTTGAACCATAGTTTTGTATATAATAACTAATGAGATATTCAACCAAAATGACTATATTCTTATAAGTGATAGAAGCCAATAACTATATTCTCTAAGTTTTTTACAGAAATTTCTAACTACTTTTCATGAGTGTTTGAGATATATAATTTTTTGATAAGTTACTTATAAACTAAAATCTCATTTTTTTCAACTAGCCTATCAAAGACACCTTCAATATTTTTAATTTGATTTGAGAAAAAAAAAAACATTATTAATTTTACCGTCGAAGCATATGCAATATGATTATTTAGACCATGGGTATCATCAAAATCTGAAGGATCTCACGGTTAAAGTTTATTATTGGGAAAAATACCTCAAATAGACAAAAAAAAAATGGGGTAAATTTATAAATTTAGTCATAAAAAACGTTTTTTCCAGATATAGACACACATTCCGCGGAGGACCCTCCGCGGACCTCCGCGGAACCATGAAATCTCCGCGAAGAGGGGGTAAATTGGTAATTTCCACCATATTTTTTTGAGAAAAACGAAGGGGTCCTCTTTTGGTCCCCACTGGTCCCCGTTCCTCGTCCACCCTCCGCATCGGCTCCTCCAGACTTTGATCGAAGACTTCAAATCCGGCGACGACTTCAACTCCGGCGACGACTTCAACTCCGACGACGACTTCAACTCCGGCGAAATCAAGTCGCAGAGCTCTTTCCGTCACCGATGGACCCCGAATTCCCCGATGTTATGACCGATGGATACGGTTCCCGGGTATTTCTCACATTCTCATCTAATTGTTAATGTCGAATATGATTCAAATTAGAGGAAAACTCATTTGATTACATTGAATATGTATACAGATTTAGGATTTTTAGGTTTACAATCACAGATACGTTCTTGCGGATGATCCATTCCGTGGAGGGGGACGTTAGTCCGCAGAGGCTTCTCCGTGGAGTGATGTGTTTCCTCCGCGGAATGCTATAATCCAACACTACAGCCTCCGCGTAAGCTAGATGTCACTCCGCAGAGAGGCCTCCGCGGAATGACCTCTAGCCTCCGCGGAGTGATGGTGTTTGCACAATTATTATTTTTCTGCTTTTAAGTATGTTGCTATTTATTTCATAATGGAATAATATTTTTTTTTATTTTCAATTAGTAATTTTTAAATGAAATAATAATTTTTATTTTTTTTGTTGTGTAGCACGAAGATCTTAATCAAAAAACGGATTTAATCTTGAAAGGCGTGGTGGGGACTATCATTAAAGACTATTTTCCGCGCCTAACACAATCACAACAAGTATTATTCGAAGCTTCCCTCTTTGGAATATTCTTAGGAATGTATATCCCACATGGTGATCCCTTACTTGTGCATAAGATGATGTTGCACGAATTAAGGTGTCAACAAATATTTGAAATGGGGAGGTTTATGTTTGATGTAGAGGGGATCCAGTTGGGTTTTGGTAAAACTGAATATATTCTGATTTGTGGTTTAAAAGTTGGTCCTTATGTGGATTTACTCCATGACGAAAAGGGCCAGTCAAATTCAAATCTCCGTGCTCGGTTGTTCCCAGATATTTCTGATGCACGTTTGCAGCTGAAATATTTAGAAGACTTAATTATGTCCCCGAATTATTTGGCACTACAAGATGAAGATGATGTGATGCTTATCCAGCTTGTTTTTATGTTGAAGGGTCTACACGGACGAGACGTTAAAACGGGCATTCCTGCAGCAGTATACAAGCTTGCTGATAATATAGATGATTGGAACAGGTATTACATTTAAAACAGGCATTCCCGCAGTAGTATGCAATGCACTAATTATAATAAATAAATTGAAAATTGCAGGTTTGCATGGGGTACGTATTTCTGGAAATATATTTCGCGTATGATGCGTGGAATGTTTAAGAAAATAGAAGAATTTAGAGAATTCAAGCAGGCCAATCCTGAATCGAAGAAAATACACAAGTATACCGTTCCCAGTTTTATGCTTCCATTTAAGGTTAGTTTCTAATGCATTTTAATAGTTATCATTGTTTAGTTTTTTATACTATAAAAATTTGAACTTCGTTTTGTATTATATAATAAGTTTGTATCATGACTTTTATAGTATAATAGAATGATACTTACATTTTTTTCATAGATATGGATTTTGGAGACGTTCCCAGATGCAACAAAGTTTTATATACGCATGCCGACAGAATTGCCACGGATGAGGGCGTGGAGAAGTAAAACACCGTTGAATTGGGTTCAATGTTGTCGAATAATGAACGTGTATGTGGTATGGTTTTTATATTAACAATCATCTATATTTACAAATTCCAAATTATTTTCATGTTAAACTAACAATCTGATTTTTGCAGCCTAACAACCAACCTATTAATGTCGAGGCAAACCCGGAGGAGCTGATGTTGTCGTTTTATGTTCGTTATGTCAATTGGACTCTTAACCCTGTAGAGTCTCCCCCACGGCAACATAGTCCCGTCCAAAATATTCCACCTCCTGTTGCCTCGCCTGCGCGAAGAAGGATGTACAAGTCCGAAACACAAACATCTTCGACTGAATCTGCCACAAATGCTTCTTCCTCGCAACATCTTGAAACAGAAACAAGTTATATGTCACACGACACATCAAGATTGGTAAAGAAGAAGAAGACGAGCACAAAGGCATTAGTGAAGTGTCTACTAGGCGTTGTGGCTGACTTAAGTTCTAAAGTAGACAGTGTATTACAGAAAAAAGATGAACCCGACACAAATTTTGAACCAGACAGAAGGTTTCGAGAGGAGGAAGAGATGATAAATGAAGAGGAGGAAGAAAAATATTACCATGATACACATTTTGACTCTGATAATATAGGTAGTCATGGTTTGGAGGTGGAATTTGAGTCTACACCTACGCATGTTGAGCCGTATAATCGAAGAGCTAGATGTAATTGACTACTGGAAGGATTTCCCCGATGGACACAAAGACAACGCAGTTGTGGAGTTTATTGATATTGTAGACGCGCCACAACAAGAATATATTACTAATAGAGGGGATTGTGGAGTATTCGTAAGCATGTATATGGAAATGATTGCTTCGGGGGTACCGGTGAAGAGTGATAAGCCATGTAGAGATGCGGGATTTCTCTACAGAAATAGGATGACAAATATTATTTGGGATACTAAATAACTTGATGTTTGGAAGTTTGTATACATTATTATGAAATACTTGTTTTTAGTAGTTTTGTTTAATATAAACAACTTTTGTATCATATATTTTTTGAAACATAATTCACCAACATATATTACGATACATTAAAAACAAAATAAACATTTGAAATAACATAATAACATTACAGAAAACATTGCAAATAAAAGATGAACGACTAACAAACATTACATAGAACATTACAAATAAAAGAGTCGTCTACATGAAAAAGGGTTTATTTCTAACCAGATTCCAAACGTCCGTATACTCGAACTCAGTTTCATCAAACTGGCACAGGTAATATCCGTTCACGTAATCAAGAAGTTCTTCATCATCAGCATCAGAGCATCGCATTTTCTCATAATTGTAGCATCGATTGTACCATGTGACTTTAGTCTTGAAATCCATCCATTTACTAACAATATCGGGTTTTAGTCGTTTTTGTCCTTGTCCAACGTTATAGTTGAACAAAGCTACTAAGCGGGAACATTCATCACCAAGAAGGCAATTAAGGGGAGCTATTACCGGCAGACCCTCGTAAACGGTAATCCAGCATCGTGTTAGGACCAACACCTCTGTTGTCGTCCATGGAGATGTACCATTTGTTGGAGCAGACGCATTGGACAAATTAGCTGCATTTGAAGACGTTGGTACATTGGATGCCATTTTGTGAAATGATCCCTTACCTCTAATTCGGACGTATAGATACTTGCTTTACTATATATAAAAGGATAGGTAACGCGGACTGACAAGTCAGTAACGCGGACTGACGAATAGCTATGCGGACTGACAAGTCAGTAACGCGGACTGACGAATAGCTACGCGGACTGACAAGTCAGTAACGCGGACTGACGAATAGCTATGCGGACTGACAAGTCAGTAACGCGGACTGACGAATAGCTACGCGGACTGACAAGTCAGTAACACGGACTGACGAATAGCTATGCGGACTGACAAGTCAGTAACGCGGACTGACGAACAGCTCTCTGCGGAGTTGAAGGGTCTATATATTGTCATGGATGATCGTTTGATATTTGCGGACTGTCATGTCTATATAAAACGACAAAAAATTATGTATCACTTCCCCTAATCTATTTTAGTTCATGTAGTTTGTCTACGAGAACACCAGTTATGGGTTCAAACCCATGGACCGCTAACGAGTATTTGCTTCTAACTCGTGCATATATTAATGTATACGAGAACACCAGTTTGGAGGATAGAATGTTTTGGGTCCTATTAACGAATACATTCAACACTGACGCTGAAACCACCATAGAAAACCATCGCAACACGCTTGATATAGCTGCAAAATGGTATGAATTGAAAACAGATGTTGTATTATTCAACGATCTTTATAATAAGATTGAAGACGATCGTGTGAATGATACTGAGGAAGACATCTTGGAGGCGGCTAAACAAGAATACAAATCCATTAGCAATGGACAGAGTTTCGAGTATGAAGCCCCTTGGAATCTTTTGAAAAATGTCCCGTTTTTTTAACTAGTACTGCGTTTTGTATTGTTCTTGTATTGGTTCATTTATATGTAATTTGGTATTTATCCTTTATATTATGAAAAATAATTCCCATGTTTAAAAACCATACATTCAAACAGGTTACGCGGACTGACAAATAAGTTACGCGTACTGACAAGTCATTTACGCGGACTGAATAAATATTTACTTATTTCAAGTTGTTATATGCCTAATATTCTTATGTTGGGATGTGTGGTATGTAATCCCTTATAGTAAATAAATATTTACTTATTTCAAGTTGTTATATGCCTAATATTCTTATGTTGACTTACAGATTCGTACGTTTCTCACGTCTATGATACCAATCATATTCGTTGGTCAAGTACCTCTAATTGGGGCGTATGTAAGATCCATGTACTTTGCGGTTGCTTTAGATGGAAATCATGAACCCCTTCTCATAGCATTTGCTTTGGGAACCATAAACTGTGACAATTCATGGTTATGGTTCATGAGGAGGCTTAAAGAATGTTTAGGTGACAATACAAAAATTGGTTTCATAAGCCATATGTCTGATTCTATAGACTTTGCAGTTCAAAGAGTCTACCATGATTCATATCATGGCTATTGTTGTAAAAATATAGGCGAGAAAATACGCGCTTCCATCGGAAGCAATACAGTCGTAGAGCAGTTGTTCTGTAAGACTTGTAAAGCATATAATTTATCTCATTTTTATGCATGTTTGAACAACTTAAAAAATGAGGTTAATGGGAATGATCTTCATTGGCTTGACAATATTCCCATTGCAAAATGGGTACGGGCTTGTTTTCCAAGAGTACGTTTCAATGTTAAACTCATTGACATTCCTGTTATTGTCAATTGGTTTAAAACAAACACACATGAGTTTCCAATAACAACAATCATTGAAATGGTCCATGACTCGATGCAAGCAGTATATCTTCAACGTGTTGCGTTTGGAGGTAATTATAAGTTATGACATCACTCAAATGGTGAATTGATATGTGATTATACGTTATGACATCATAATTTTTGTTTTTTGATTTAGTTCATTTCACAGGGGATTTTCATGGTCTTCTAACCCCTTATGCACTGAAGGTGATTCATAAAAGATTTATCCACTCTGATGGTTGTAGGATTACACATATTGTTGGCGACAGATATGAAGTGACTAAGTATTCAACAACCGAATCTATCCAATTAGACCGTGGTATTTGTAGTTGCGGTAAATGGCAAAAATGCGGTATACCTTGTGAGCATGCCATAGCTTCACTACAAAGACTCGAAATTGCAGAAATCCATCAAATGGTAAATTTAAAGTTAAGTACAGCGGTGTATCGAAATGCTTATCAAACTGAGACGGTCAATCCTATTCCAACCCTTAGGCATTGGGAAATACCAGTTGAAAGTGTTGTGAACTCCACGACAATTCAATTGAACTGTATTGTATGGATCACAACGAATATTAGTTTGTATTCAGTTCTATGTTAACCGTACTTGTAATGGTCTGTTGGCGTTCTTTACTTTTTAATAAAAAAATTTTACCTTTAAATAAATAATTGTATTTCCATAATTGTAATGTATGGATGACAACGACTAGACAAACAGCTATGCGGACTGACAAACATTATTGCAGACTGACAAAAAGCTCCGCGGACTGACAACAAGTCTCTGCGGAGTGGACGGGACTATATATAGTCATGGATGGTCGTTGGATTTTTGGTATAGAGTTATAAACTTTTTTTAAATTTAAAATGAGTTCATCTTCAACTTTGTATATTTGCTCGTGCAACGAAGTTGATTGTTTCTATTGTGATCCGATCGACCCTTTTCTTGCCCCTTCACCAAATTTAAGAGAGCCGTATATGTCGGAGGATACTTTGCAACAACTACGATGGGCTGAAGAACAACAAAAAAAGATAAAGACTCATCTCGAGCTCTCACTGAACGTCGTCACCTCATTGCGGCGGAGTGCAAAGAGGTTGAGGAAAGGATGACGATTACTAAAAACAAAATCAAAGATCATGAGGAATGGATAAAAAAGTAAGAAGAATATCAAACTGTCTGAAAAATGGCTTGCTGACAAGGATGCAAAAATGATAGAACTTGGTAGCCAAAAGGACCGTATGTAAGATAAAATAAGAATTAGGGACGACTACATAACAATGGAGAAAGAAAAGTATCCTTTGCAATTCCCTTAATTTAATTACTGTTGTACGTTTACTATATGTTTCTGGTTTGTTGAATGTATTATCTTCGAGTATTAGTTATTATTCTACTACTAATTATGCACTAATATAATCATAATATTACCCATCATCTTTAAAATAAACACACCATTTCAAAGTACACAAATTAATGTCCTATAAAACAAAACATAATTAATTATAAATACAACATCAATCATTCAAATCAAACGTTGAACAATAGTCTTCTCTCTGCGTCCCACTCGTCCAACGCGTCTCTTGTGTCCCGTGTGTCTCTAGCGTCTCCTGAGTCCCTTCTGTCCCTTTCCCTTTCCATTTTGTGTTACTACCTGATGCCACACTACTTTTTGTAGCCTTTTTTTTGTTTCTTTGGGACCAATGTCGGACAAGTCGCTGCATTATGTGTTGTATTATCACATCTACTACACCTTCTTATTATAGGTTCCTCACCTTGTGACGGGATACGATTTCTGTTTCTCGGTCTACCAACTTGACGTGTATCCATTATCGGGGGTTTAACAACCGTCATCTCAGCAGGAATTTCCCAATCACACGGTTCTGGAAGGGGGTGAACCGGCTCCTCATACGTACTTCGATACGTTTCCATTTTGTAAGCATCTATAGCCAGATGTCCGAAGTTAGTTTTTTTCAAGTGCTTCAAGACCATTATGACAAGACCACAAGGCAACCCAGTTCCTTCCCAATATTTGCATGTACAACTCTCTTGCCTCAGATCAACTATGCCACCATGTTTGAAATAATGAACTTGATATATTGCATCTGAAACACCAGAAACGGACCATCCTGTCGTACGCTCTTCATTTTTACTAACTACTTTTTCAGCCCACTCGGTTAGCACTGTTGAACGTTTACCTGTAAAGAAGATATATATAATTAACTTATTATTCGACCTAATTAAAGTCCAAATTAAATTCATACCTCCTTCGATGCGACGCTTGTTACACCATTCCTGTGAAAGACGACGGAAGAACTCAAGAAGGGGTATTATAGGCATCTTCCTTGCATTTACAGATAAAGCATTCATGGACTCT